GTCTTTTTTTTTTTTCTTATATACCAAGAAGTTGAATATTTGGGTCTTTATACAGAAGTTTGGTGACGTATTTGTGATCATAAATATGTTGTAGGAACTTAACGCTTGTTTATATCATTAGCCTGTGGCAAAGGTTGTTATTATGTTGTTTTGCTTAACGTTGCAGTTCCAAATTTTAACAACTTTAAGTGAGGACTTACTGTATGTGACAAAATCTGTATAGATTTAGACTAACTTAAGATAGTAGAATCTCATCAAATGTATTGAGTTTTAAATGTAACCAATTACTGAGAGAGATCTGGAGTTAAATGGGTTTTTACCACTATCTTCAAAGGGTTATAGTTTGTAATGGTTTTGCTATTAATCTAAAACTAACCCTAAGGCCAGGCGTGGTGGCTCACGCCTGTAATCCTAGCACTCTGGGAGGCCGAGGCGGGCAGATTGCTCAACGTCAGGAGTTCAAAACCAGGTAGCAAGACCCGTCTCTACCATAAAAATTAAAAATTAATTGGCCAACTAATATATAAATATAAAAATCAGCGGGCATGGTGGCTCGTGCCTGTAGTCCAGCTACTCGGGAGCTGAGGCAGGAGGATCGCTTGAGCCAGGAGTTTGAGGTTGCTGTGAGCTAGGCTGACGCCATGGCACTCACTCTAGCTAGGCAAGAAAGCGAGACTCTGTCTCAAAAAAAAAAATAATAATAAAAATAAAATAAACTAAGCCCTGGGAAAATCTTGGCCATAGAAAATGAGACAAAGCTGAAAGAATTAGTGTTTTTGCATATGCATAGATTTGAGTATATGGTATACTGGTAAAGAGGTTTCAGAATGGCAAATATAATAGGCAGTGGTTAACATTCTATTTGGCCAGATGAATACCTAAAACTGAGAAAGGGCAGGGACACTTCCTAGAGGCCTGTCAGGCCCTCAAGCATGGGAAATCCTGAGTCCATCCAAGGGAAGTTCTAAGCACCTAGCTAGCCTTGAAAGGTGAATGGGCAACCTGATGAGAACGATGGCCAGAGTCACAAGACGTTTTGGTTCCTATGGAACTAAAAGATAACATCTTAACATATGTGCTCCAGTAGTTTTTCAGTCCCCACACCCCCATGAAAAATACAGATAAGGGGAACTGAAGATTGCACTCTGACCCTCTTCTTTGTTCTTAATTTCCCTGAGAGGCTTGGAGGGAGCGCACCCATTTTAACATTCCTTTCTGCTAATCCAAGAATCTCTGAATCTACCTATGACTTATAGGCCCATGTTCAGGATATCTCACCTTTTGGGCCAATGTGTAACCTCCACGTATTGATGTACAATTTTGCCTGCCTCAAATGTACCCTGCCTTAAAATCCTGGCCTGTAAGCCATTAAGGAGTTTAGGTCTTAATCATTAGCTGATTACCCTTGTTGACACCATGTAATAAAAATGCCTGTTTCTTCTTGCTGCAATTCTCTACTTCTTTTTTTTTTTTTGAGACAGAGTCTCGCTTTGTTGCCTAGGCTAGAGTGAGTGCCGTGGCGTCAGCCTAGCTCACAACAACCTCAAACTCCTGGGCTCAAGCGATCCTCCTGCTCAGCCTCCGAGTAGCTGGGACTACAGGCATGAGCCCACATGCCCGACTGATTTTTTCTATTATATATTAGTTGGCCAATTAGTTTCTTTCTATTTATAGTAGAGACGGGGTCTCGCTCTTGCTCAGGCTGGTTTCGAACTCCCGACCTCGAGCAATCCGCCCGCCTCGGCCTCCCAGAGAGCTAGGATTACAGGCGTGAGCCACCGTGCCTGGCCTCTACTTCTTTTATGCTGCAATTCTTGCTGCAATTCTCTTCTTCTTGCTGCAATTCTCTACTTCTTTTATGAGACAGAGACATCTCACTCCATTGCCCTTAGTAGAGTGCCGTGGCGTCAGCCTAGCTCACAGCAACTTCCAACTCCTGGGCTCCAGCGATCCTCCTGCCTCAGCCTCCCAGGTAGCTGGGACTACAGGCGCACACCACCATACCCGGCTAACGTTTCTATTTTTAGTAGAGATGGGGAGGGTCTCACTCTTGCTCAGGCTGGTCTCAAACTCCTCAGCTCAAGTGATCCTCCCACCTGGGCCTCCCAGAGAGCTAGGATTACAGGTGTGAGCCACCGCGCCCGGCCTCTTCTTGCTGCAACTCTCAACTTCAGTGTATGATTTTGCTTTGCTGGTTTAGCAGATCCCAGTTTGGTTCAGTAACAAAACTAAACTTTTATTTTACATATGTCTTTATGTCCTTTAATAAAGGTATATTTTCAAGTGACTAAAATCATCAGCTCTGAGGTCTGCCTGGGATTAGATTCTCGCTTTTGCCGGTTTTAGAGTGGCACTGAATAGATTAATCTTGTTTAGCTTTAGTTTCTTTTTCTGTGAAATATGGATAATAAGAACTGTTACAGCCCAACCAGGTCCACTGCCCCACTGCTCAAGGGGAAACCAATACACTGGGATAGCAGGTGTTACAGCAGAGAAATTTAATATTACAGGTGTCATGAAAGCTGGGAGGAATTTCTCAAATCCAAACCCTCAAGAATTTGAGAAAGGATTTTTAAAGATAGTTTGGAGGACAAAGGGCTAGGTGATTTGGTCTGCTGATTGGCTGGGTTCAGGGTAGAGGTGGTAGAACCATGGGGGTGTAGAAGTTGTCTTCTTGTGCTGAGTCAGTTCCTGGGTGGGGGTTTCAAGAGTAGTTGAGTCAGTTCCTTGGTATGGGGCACTGGTCTTGGCCAGTCCACCAGACTGCAAGGCCTGGAAGATATCTCAAAAACTAGTGTTAGGTTTCACAAGGGCAATGTCATCTGTGGGAGTAAGGAAGAAAGCTAAGAATCTTTATGATCATCAGCTATATGACTCCTGAGTAGTAAGCAATTATAGGAAAGCAAGCTGGGGAACAATAGCTGGTTATACATATATTTTACCAATGCCTACACCTTTGCAGAGTTCAGGCCTCTACCACAGTTCCCACCTTGTGGCCCTTTATTAGTTTTATAAAGGGCAGTTACAGATCTACTGTTATAGATTATGATATAATCTGGTATAAATAGTGCTGTGTAGTACTATGTTTCATATAAACTATTACAACTAATACTCCACTTCCTAGGAAATGTTTTTACTTGGTAAATTTTATTCCTAGGTCTACTTAATCTAAAATCCTCTCTTCTCAGTCCATTTAATTTGCATAAAATTAGGTAGAAGCAGCAGTTTCGGGATAACTCATTTACAATTTACTCACATTTTAGCATTGTCTTATCTTTTCAGGAGAGCTAGGAAAAAATCTTTGGGCTGGAAGAGGGCTTGGTTCTTGCAGAGTGGGAAAGAGTGGCAGCAGAGAAGGGGATCATACGGGCGTGGTTGATGAGGCACTGTAGACAAATAAGACATTGTCTTTAGATGTTCATTCTTTGTAACCTCTTCCTGGGCTTGGGGAATTCCTTTTCCTAATGATGAAGAAACATGGAGAGTAAAACTGTGAGATGTTCACTGTTGCAGCCTAGGCAGAGACAGCTGGAAAACACAGCTTGCGCCTGCAAATTGGCAGAATCCCTATCTTGTTGGGTCTTGTGAGAGTAGAGACACTGGTGAGGAAAGAGTGATACTCTGAGAATTGAAATAAGAGTTTTAGAAACACTTGGATGAATGAGTATTCTAAATCTAAGTGATTCTAAGTAATTCTAAGTGAACCCCATAAGTGAACCACTTTAAGGTAACCTCACTGTTACCTTGGCTGATGACCCCTTAATAACATAATTTAAAAGAGTTAGCTTGCAAAAAGAAGTCCATTTGCCTTATCCTTACAATCCTTCATTGTTTCCAGGACATAGTTTGAGTCAGATCCTAACACAAAGTATAATCTAAAAGAATGCTTTTTTGGAATATATATATTGCTATATGGAGAATACCCATGGAAATAGATTCTGAGTATGTAGGATCTTAAAGGAAGTAACAATTTTAAACTGGGTTAAATTATCAATATGGGTATACCTATAGCAGAGATTCTAGCTCAGTTGTCACCTTAAACAGCTCGAAGTGGTCCTTTTTAATTGGTTGAAAGACATTTTGACTCAGCAATGGCTCATCTAAATTGGAGGTAATATGATAGAAATTCCTTGATATAATGTAGAGAAAGGAAATCAAAGACAGAAGAGGGGGAATGTTGAAGAGGATTTAATATGTGTGATCCTTTAACTAGATCCCTCATGAGAGTCTAGTTGACTCTCTTTACCACGGCATTGAAAAAGCACTAGTGAGCAGAGCACCAGCACTCTTGGAAAGCTTGCATGCCAGAGATGCCATTGGGAGATGCTTCAGTTGAAATGGACTCCTTGATTCAATGGGCATTGCCAAGACTGTATCATGTCAGAGACAAAGTAGTTCACTTAATTGCTACACTAGAAAGGTGGGCACGGTTACTAAATAAGCATTAGGACAAGATAATCAGTCTAACACAAGGTTTGGCCTTGGCTAACTGATCATGTGATTTAAAGGATCAAAATGGAAAACTGCCATGTTCCTATTTGATTTATATAACTGAAAACTATAGGTCTGACTTGAGCTACTATGGTATTTCCAAGCCCTCACCCAGTTGCAGGCCTGATTTAACTGGATTCCTGGAGCCCTTTGAGAAAAGACCTTGATATAACATCCCAAGTATGCATTCATGTATCCCTTCACCTTCTACAAAGTAACCTGTGGCCATTTATTAGAGCAATTATGCAATGCAGAAAGAAATTTCTAGATCTGTTGGGATTACCGAACTGGTCTTCAGTTCTAATTTGGGGGAGCCAGAACATCACACAATTTATTCAGAGTGGAGTTTTATGGAAGTTGGTATGGAGTTGGTATGGAGTTTTGACTCAAGTCTACCACAGTGATCCCCAGTGATCCCCCGCCAAGCCAATCCCTTGATTATTTCTCCTGTTTCCCTGAGTGAATGGTTAGAGTGTTAACATAAGTAACTAGCCTATTCAAAACAATGGTTTCCTGATCTGGTTTCTTTGTTTACCAAATTTTAATGGAGGGATACAAATGAGGTCATTTTACAATGTGGTCAACATTTGCAGTGTACCAAATTACTACTATTGTCAGGGGAACAAAGTTGCTAATGTAGAACTAAATGGAATTTTTAAAGTCATTTCACTTTTAGCACTACCTTATCACAGAGTTCCAAACTATTTCCTATCAAACTTTTCTTATGAAAATCTGTCTTTACATGTGAAATTAATACACATACATATTGATATATATTTTAGATAACAGTAGTTTATGTTTCTATATTAAATTAGGCTTCTTGCATTGAATCCAACTCATCATTGATCAATATATGTCATGCTGATAAGCATTAGCAAAATTTGAGACTGATATTTAATTTAATAATATATATTAGATAATCTGAATTCTGGTTTACCTCATGGATTTATAGTGATTTTTCTTTTTTAATTACACAAACAAAAAAAAGAAGTAACTAATAACTTTATTTATATTTGTGCTTATTTATAAGTTAAAATTTTAACAAGAATTATTGAGTAGAATTTTTTATGGTCATTACAGAAACTAACTTGCATTATCTATTCCTTTTTTTTACTGAAAATGTATGATTATATTAATTGGAGAAAGAAAAAACATCCTTTTGGGAATATCCTGTAATAACACAAAGAGATTTTTCCTTATTTCTGCTAATTAATATTCTGTGTTCATCTAATCCCCATCCCCTAGATTTTTTTGTATATGTCATGGAAATGCTTTTTTCTTATGTAGTGTAATTCAATCTATCACTTGTACCCCCACTCCCACCCCAGCTTAATGGTTATAAAAAGTTACTTCCCCTCAAAAATACTTTAGGGCAAATGGATTAAATTTTTGAGACAGAACCATAAACTTTATGCCAAATCCTTTCATCTAAAATCTTAAATTTAAATGAAGCAAAAATGATATTTATTAATGGAGACAAGATTTTTTTTGCAACTAATTTTTATAGTTATGTTAGCTTGGGCTACTTACACAAAAAATTTATACAAACACACACACAAAACCCAAAAAACCAAACCAAAGAAACAAAAAAACCAACCTGCAAATCAAAAAACCCTCACTTCATAAGGTGACAAATTTTACTTCTGAGAGGTAGTACAACCAAGCAAATGAATATTGTACGTGCATTATCCAAGGTGGTACCTGAGATCACCCAACCTGTTTAATTTGTAACAAAAATTTCTCCTTTTCAGGGTTTCAGTGCTTGTGAACAACTATTATGTTAGAACAATGGTATAAATTTATTTTGACAAAATCTTGAAGTTTAGTCATCTAGACCTTAAACTTATTAAAAAATGTATTTCTATCTCAGGCAAGTATTTAGTTTTTCAAAAGCCAGAGATAAAAGATCAATGTGGGAAGAAGTATGATTTCTTAAAATGGGAACATATTTTAGCTTTCTAATCGTGAAATACATTAGTGACCTGGAAGAACACTGTTCTTCCTATTTTATTCAGAGTCATTTTAATAGGTCAAAGGCTTTACCTTCATTTTGTGCACTGTAAACAGAAAAAGAAACATCATGAATCAGTTTAAGTAGAGATGTGATTAAGAATGGCAAAAGATGGATTCCACAATGTACATAAAATTCCAAACACTTCACATGTGAAAAATTTCCAAATTATTAAGCAGTAGGGTGATCTCAGAAACTTGGCTTCATATAAAATGGTTCCATTAAAATTTTAAGTTTTCTTTAAAATAAGAAAAACTTGAAAAAGCAAAGCTCCCAAACCAGCTAAGTTAGAAACTAATTTTCTTAATGAAAACAATACTGTTTTTTATTTTTACACCACTGAATTGAAAGAATAGAAAAAGAACTAGCGTTGGTATAGAGAACGATTAGGCCATCTATACAGACACCTGAGAAGAAATTTTCTACGTTTACCATCTTCTGCAGCCACTTGCTTCTGCTTTGTCATTCACTGACATTTCAACCCGGTCAGTTACTGTATCGTCGGAAGCTGACTGGCCATGGCTCTCTGACTGTCCTCCAGTGTAGGTGGGCGTGCTGTACTTTAAAAGGATAGATTTAAACTGCATCAGAGGTGCATCTGTACGAACACCCATTGGGTCAAAATGAGTTCGGCTCACTCGAAAGCCTGCTTGAGACAGATAGCACAAAAACTTTTTTAACCTGCAATGAGGAAAGGAAAAAATATAATTAGGATCTTGTATTTTTATTTAAATCACAGTATTATTAAAATACAAAATAAAACACTTTGCCATTCACTGGCTACCTTACTTTGGCATGTTCATTCCTTTAATGCTGTGTCTGTGGATGTTATAATAAAAGGGAGGATGTTCAGTACTGACATCAGTCTTTTGCTTCTTGGCTAAAGTTGTAATCATTTCATTACTTTTTCTCTTTCCTGAAACACATACAAACATACAAGTTAGCATTCCCTTAAAACTTACAAGCCAAATACTTCCATAACTATATATTGTCTCAAGTTTAAACCTCTCATACCATTTCAACCTATCTATCAAATCTTAATTCTTACAATAAGATAATTTATTCCAGATATTTTCACTGTTCTTCACTCATGTAATTTTAATATTTAACTCTTGGATGAGTTAGAACTTCCTTTCCACCTTCTTAAACTTCAAGTCACGACTCTATTTCCAGTTCCTATAGGAAGTCATTTATGAATTCTGGGCCAATCACTTCAGAGATTTCATTATTGTTAATACCACACTAATCAGAGCTTGATTAAATTCTGTCATTTTTGTCCTTTCTTGCTTCATGTATGTAGGTCTTTCATGCATGTAAACCCTTTCTCCCCAAATTATACTGTAAGTTCTTGAGGATAATGTCCTTCATTTTTATGCCTCTACTCCCTACTAAGTACCCAATATTGGATATATAGTGGGTTTTCAGTGAACACAAAGAAAAACACCACCAAAAAAATCTCAAAAGCTTGAATACAAAAACTGACAAAGGTACAATGTATGGTCTCATTGCCTACTTTCTCACCACGGTACTTAGTCTTTCCATTTTAAGTGAAAGGAGGATAGCACATTACTATAAACTACCATGTGAGAGTTGTATTTAATTCCTACTAGTTTTGAGCCAGGGGCTTCATGAAGCAAAACCTGAGCAAAACCCTGCAGATGGTTCATGAAAATCTTATTTGTTGATTTTCTTATTGTTACAATTAATATTGACAAATTAATTCTAAAAACGTGGATTAAATGAACGGAAGTCAACATATTTTATTTTTCACTAAATTAGAAAGGATTGTTTTGTTTTTGACGTTTTTATTCTATTTTCATAATAAAACACCATGGCCTGAAGGAATTTTTTTCTTTTTTTAGTGTGGCAGTCAATGTGCTAGCCAGTAAGATTCTAAGAATATATCCTTCTAAAAATCACAAAGTGATTCTAGGAATGTATCCTTCTAAAAATCACAAAATAATTGAGATATCCAATATTATAATGAGATTTTGCCTGAATGTTCAACCCTTGATTATTTATATATGGATACTATGGTCAAATTTTATTTATTCAGGAAAAGCAATTAGCATTTGCTTAAGCAGAAGTATTCAGAAGGCAAATTTCGTGCATGAAATGATTAATTACATTCAAAAATAAATATAAATTACTGTTGAATTGTTACCTTTTTACATAAAAATAAAAACCAAAAATGTCAACTTGGGACATATCCATTAAGTCAGATAAAATTTGACTATACCCTTGCATGAAGTCTAACAAGACACTCAGTGAAAGGCTATATACCCAGATTTAGTAAAAGGTCTAGGAAAGTCTGAGACAAAAATGTCTGACATAATACCTTAATAGTGACTATCGTCAGCAGTATGGATTTTTTTGCTTGGTATTTTCTATCATGGAAGATTTTATGTGTTGATAGACCAGTCTAAGAATAATCACATAATGTTACAGTTATAGAAGAGCCCATGGAGATTAGTCTAATTTTCTTAATTTATATATAAGAAAGGCTCAGAAATTTTAAATAATTTTAAAACTTATTTATGTTTTACTTTATTCTAAAAAGAATTTAAGACAATTCTGCTGAAGGTGAGGGACCTAGCTGTGGTTACATAACTAATAACACAATGAAATAGAATGAAGCTCTTAAATCTGTGCTCTTTATAATACATCATAATGCCTCTTTTATTTTTTCCCACCAGAGAAACTAAGTGAGATATATCATTTTAAGTGATTTGGATGTTAACAAACTAGTTGAAGATGCGACATGAACAAAACTGCTGGAAAGAGCATACAGTAATTAAACCATATACTATTAACAAGAGTTTAAGATTCCTTCTCTTTGAATGTCAACACTAAACTGTTAAGCAACAAATACAAAATTACAGCTCGTAATTACAGGTCACTACTTTTTCAACTTTAACATTGTCTATATTCTTTTTACCTGTATTAAAAACACATGTGAAATCTAAAGTTGTTTTTTTTTTTGAGACAGAGAATCTCACTCTGTTGCCCGGGCTAGAGTGCCATGGCATCAGCCTAGTTCACAGCAACCTCAAACTCCTGGGCTCATGTGATCTTTCTGCCTCAGCCTCCCGAGTAGCTGGGACTATAGGCATGTGCCACCATGCCTGGCTGATTTTTAGTTGTCCAGCTAATTTCTTTCTATTTTTTTTTCAGTAGAGACAGGGTCTCGATCTTGCTCAGGCTGGCCTTGAACTCCTGAGCTCAAATGATCTGCCCGCCTCAGCCTCCCAGAGTGCTAGGATTACAGGTATGATAAAGTTGTTTTTAAAAAATAAAACAAAACCTTAGACATTAAGGTACTGAGAATCGTAACACCCTTTTGATATGAATTTGCAATGTCTAATACAACTATATTTCAAAGTATATGCATATCCTAAATAAAAAAGGTCATATAAATCTTATGGCTGAGAATAGAGTCTTCTGGTTAATCAAATGGAATTGCTATAAATCATATATTGATGAGCATTTTTTTTTTTTTTTTGAGACCAGAGTCTCGCTTGTTGCCCAGGCTAGAGTGAGTGCCGTGGCGTCAGCCTAGCTCACAGCAACCTCAAACTCCTGGGCTCAAGCAATCCTTCTGCTCAGCCTCCCGAGTAACTGGGACTACAGGCATGCGCCACCATGCCCGGCTAATTTTATATATATATACATTAGTTGGCCAATTAATTTCTTTCTATTTATAGTAGAGACGGGTCTTGCTCTTGCTCAGGCTGGTTTCGAACTCCTGACCTCGAGCAATCCGCCCGCCTGTGCTCAAAGATAGATGTGCTTTACCTTCAAATTTGAATGTCAACTAAACCATGGTGAGAGAGATTCAAACAGCATTCCTTTGAGGAATCCAGTATTGAAAAGGGAACCTTGTACCTGAAAAGAATAAGAAATATATAGAGGAATAATGGGGTTCTGAGAAGCTTTATTTTCCTTAAAAAAAGTCTCCATAATTTAACCCACACTACAGATATCAATTGCATTGATAGGACAGAGTAACACTGAAATTAAAAAGAATTTAGTGATCTAATTAAAACATGTGTTAATTCTATTGCCTACTCCTTGTTTATCATGTCAGTTTCTAAACTATCAGATAGTCAAGGAACATTGCCATTCATGTTAAAATTAGCAAGAATTCTCCTGCTTGCCAATGATGACGCAACAAAAAAAGAAAATGAACAACAATTTATGGAGCCCCTCCATAAGGTCGTGAAATACAGTGGCACACAGGGATGTGTAGAGATATACCCAAAATGAAAAATACACATGTTTACCCTAATAAAAGCCTAATCCAGACAAGATCTCAAAAGGAAAATCAGTGTAACTGCTGGGGTGTTGCACAATGTACATTCCAGTAGTAATAGCAAATATTAACTTCAGTGTTCCTAATGGTAGGGTAGAGATGGGAGGAGACATATATCGAAGAACTTACCATCTGTTAAAGTTGGGCCCAGGGGAATCTCCGACGTAATGCTCCCCATTTGAGAATCACAGGTAGCTAATGAAAAAAATATGAAATTTTTTCTTTCGCTCCTGACGTCAAGACTAAACCGGATTCCACGCTGGTTTTACCTATTACCAGCTATATAATCTTGAGTAATTGAGCTGGCTTGTTGAGGTACATATATTCCTCAGAAATGAAATTGAAAATAAGCTTCTCCTAAAACACTTGCTAGGGGGATTAAATTAAGATAGCATATTAGCAATGGCTTACCAAAGCATAGTCCTCAGAAGGAATGGTAGCTATTATTATCCGTAACTCATTAGGGTTAGCAAATATATACTGAAGAGGGACATATGATTTTATTTCTATTTTATTTTATTTTTTTTTGTATTTTTTTAAGGCTGTGTCAAGTGGAGCATGGGAGGTGAGAAGACAAAGGAATCGTGTAACTGGGTTGTGATCAATTAGGTTTGGTAAACACCACCGCACTCGACCAATCTTGAGGTTTTAAAGTTTCAAAATGGGGAATCAATGTAATGGGGATCAATTACTAAAGAGAATTTAGAAATTATTTTGCGGTTGGCAAGCGCTAAAGATGACACTTCAAAAATGATAGTACAAATTGGAATGGCGGGGTGAGAGAGGGGGAAGGTATCAGATGCACAGTAAAGGACATGAACAATCAGCTTGAGTAAGGAAATCTAGATAAGGCATGAGCTGAAGAACTGCAGCCCTGAAAGCTCAGCAAAACCCTAAGTTCTGGCCGCTGGACTATGCTAAAACTAATTTTCTTGGTCAGTTTAGCAAGTCCATTAAAAACAATATGCTAAAGTTCCTCATCTGTTAAATCTTTAAGATACATATGCTCCATTCTACAAACCTA